TTAATTCGAAATCTTAGTTAAAAAATATCCCGCGATGAAGGAAATTCGTAGAATCCCAGAAAGAATTTCTTGGACCCTCGAGAATGACTGGTTTCGATTGTTTAACTGGCTGATTTCCTCTGACTACCATGAAACCACAGAATCCGCAACCTTAACGTGGCAGCTATTTGAGCTTCCAGGTGAGGATTTCCATTTTTAAGACCGTCATTAAACGTCGACTTCGAAGTCCAGTGAAATCGCTCTTGAACAATTAGAGAATCAACTACTGAATTTCAGTGAGAGGATGTCATCAGACTCTCACTTTGTCTTCGCTTCCATTAAATTTCGAGAACTCCCAGTTGCTGTAATGATGTCAAATCAGGGCTGTGTATTACCAATTAAAGATCATCAGAAACTGGAACACTGCGCATTAGAAGGAGTTACAATATAGCAAGTATTGAATCTGGTCTTTTTAACGGATATAACGTAGATTTTCTCGTCTCTTCGAAATAATATTTAATCACATAACTCTGAGAATAAGCGATTAGTCTATTAAGTTTGTTTAGCCAATTGACATGACATTACAAAATAAAATATATTATATTACATTACACTGATACTGCTATAGAGTTTCCAGAAGCAACAAAGGAACTTCGTATACGCTACAATGCTTGTGAAAAAATATTACGTCAATTGCAAGCAGTAGAATTTCGAATGAGAAACAAGGTTTTTATCCCTCTATATCATACTACTTTCTCACTGCTTCCTGCAACCCCTCTTTACTCTGTTCCAATCCCATTTTATCTGGTCCTTTCGTTTGTTTCATATGCCTGACGTCTAGCTTCATCTGCTCCTGTAATCCGCGTTCCGTAACCTCTCTTGTGACCTCCCGCTCAACCGATTCCACCAATGCCCCTTTCCCCCACTCAGTCACGTTCATACCTCACTCCCCGGACCAGTGTCCCCACCGTCTAAGGAAGGCGAGGCCTGATTAATAGCACATTAGGTTGAAGGGCTCCGCTAATTATTTTTCAACGACCTCTAAACAGTTAAGAGCAGGTTTGTGATCTCATCTCCTCTTATATTCATGATAAAGAGTAACTGTGAATGGACACAATACAACCTCTAAACGACAGTACCTTTTCATTTTGGAATATTTATACGTTTATACGCACATTTGGCGTTAAAAACAAAATCATAAACAAAAAATGTAATATGATATTAAAGTTTCTATTATTCTGTAATTTTAAAACATATGCTTTCTCGTTGCACTCCCTAATTTCAACAAAAACTCAGAAGGCGGAGAATGATCCTGGCGTAATGTTGCGCCTTTTTTCGAAATTCCGATCTTATAAAGATTTATCCAAGGGACCATTGGGCCTTAATCGCTTTGATATTTCTATATGTCAAAGTCATTTTATTAAGTCTAAAATGTTTTCGTGCGAGCAATTTCTTGAGCGGAAACGTTCTCGAAAAAGAGTTTCCTTCTTTACAAATACATAAAGGAATATATAAAAAAGATCAAACATTTCCTGCAGATTGAAAATTCGCTCTGGAGACAGAAATTGGACAGAATCAGTGTTCAATACAAATATCACGTTGCTTAACCACGAGAAGATAATTAAATCGTTTTGTTAATTTTATTTCCTAACAAAAGCAGGCAGGAACTATTATTTTTTATGTACTCTTCACTAAGAGTTAGAATGTCCAAATCGTTCAATGTACTTAATGCTGTGACTTTGAGGCAAGAGTCAATCAAATAGAATTTGTTTAAACATATAATACTTTTAATAAGAGCAGGGGCAGATGTAGAAATTTGTTTCCTTCCGTAGCAGGGTCGTATGAAGGCCATCCCACCATTCTCATCCCAACACCCATTTTAAAACTGCACTGGATTAAAAGAATTTTAGAATAATCGCAAATATACGTCAAAATTATACATTATTTCTTAATGTACATCAAAATAAGTCGCATTTTGTTAATTTTGACAATTGACAGAGTTTAAAAATATTATAATTTAAACCACGTCATGGAGTTTCAAATCAAACTATTCCTAATTGAAAAATTAGTACAAATTCGAAGATTTATAAAAATATTATTTAGATATGATGTAGTTAGTAATGTAGTTGTAAATTGTTTGAAGTTGAATTCAAATACAATATATAAATTAAATTATTACATTTATAAATTATATTTATATATTTATAAATTATGTCTATTTATAGCAATAAATATGTAATTTATATTTTATTTTCAATTTGTATATTTAATTATACTAAAAAATGTGCTTCTTTCGTTATTTTAAAAAGGTCTCCGTTCAAATGTTTTCGAAAGCCCATCCGCCCGGAAATAAAAGGGAGCTGAAACAAAACCGCGCGTGACAGGCCGGCCGGCGGGCGGGCGGGCGGGCGGAGGCGGGCGGCGGGGCGGGCGGGGGGGCGGGCGGCGGGCGGGCGCTTATCTCGAACGCGAGTGGCGGCCGCGCCGCGCGCGCGCCGCGCCGGGGCGGGGGCGGGTGGCCGGGCCGCTTCCGTGCGCGTGCGCATGCGGGCGGGCGGTCGCCCTCCGCTCATTTGCATTGAACAGCCATTAGCTCCCGTCTCGCGCGGACGAATATAGGGTCGGGAACCTTTGCGGGAGAGAGCGAGAAAACTATTCGAAATGCACGGCGGCACAGAGTTATTTTAGTTCATAAATCGCTAGTGCTAATGGATAATTGAGCACGGATGATTGATTGATAACTCCGAGCCCAACAACTGCTAAAGTGATTATTCCCGTATGTGTAGTGCATGTTTTATCGCGGGGGGGGGGCGGGAGGCTTCCCTCGTTGGGCGGCGAGATCCGGTGCCGGCCTACACGCCGACTTGTAGGATTTTCTCGAACTAGCTATCTCGCTCCAGCCGAGATAAGCTCTAAGCTCCCGACTGGTCTCCCAATGTGTGTGTAAGGGATGAGGATAGGACAAGGAAGAGGAAGCAAAGATTGCGCTAGATCGGTGGCCCGTTTGTTAGGATACTTCAGCATTCGCCTGATTTTGTTTGGAGAAACAATTGAAAACTACGGATCCTGTCGCTAGAATTCCAGCAGCCGGCCGCTAGAATTCTCCTCCAGACTGCGGCTGAATTCGACCGGGCTGTATATCTAGTGTCGAAAATCCTCTCACTGTCGGAACCTAGGACCTCCCTAGGCCTAGGATGTCAATGGGATCAACAGATGGATACCTCCCTCCCTAGGATCAGTTGACGCCCTAAGCCACCAAAATGGCTAGTGCAAATTGATAAATGAGGAATGCCTTGTTCTTCCAGAGGCGAGTCAGAGATAGTTCAAGGTAGACGAAGTTAAGCGAGCAGGTTGTTAAAAGTCACCCATCTGACACGCTTCGCTCCAGTGTTTCCAAATAAAGGGCAAGACTTCCATCAAAAGACGAGTCAAGGCCCTTGTCCTCACGATCAGCGTAATCATCTAGTTCAGCCACACAAAATTTCAACGCCTAAGTACAGTTGTGGCTTAAGTTTGCCGTCTTTACACGCTTAAATACTATTTCTATTTAAGTAAATGAACTAGAAACGCCTTCCAACGTCCGTTAGATTATAAATATTTTTGTATTAACACTTTTAAAGTTGCATTTCATGGATTTAAATTTTACAGATATTTATTTTTTTGTTTATAGTATAAGTAACTAATTTAAACATCCAACTTAGTATTTGCGCATTTTTTCAATTGCCGTTGATTGAACAGCGCATTGCATACTTCCCATTCATCCACAACGCTTTAATAGATGTAGGTAAAAAAAATTAATTTTAAAAAAATAATTTAAAAAATCAAAAATAGCTTTTGGAAGGAGTCTGAAGAGCAAACGTAAGTCGAAGAATTAGGAACTAATTGAGGAATGCATTATTTTATGTTTCCGAGCGCTTCTCGTGCAACTGTCATGAGTTCTGGAAGTGTAGTTACACTACCGTGTACTATAGGACCTGCTTTGAGAGAACTATGCAAATTTAGTAGTTTATTGTTTTGGCATGCGTCCTCTGTGCTATATACGGTAGTTCATGCAGCTAATTAGTTTCGAATTTACTGCGAGTATAGTCGTAATCGGAGATGGTGCATTTTAATACCTACTATTAGCAACAGTAACGTGCAGATTGACAGTTCATTTCAGTACACACGTAGTATTCATTTTTATTGCCGTATACACCTTCAGATAGTAATGTTTGGGTTTCACTAGACTTCGAATTTGGGTGGGAAAGTTAAAAGATGAAATGAAATCACTCAAGGTCTTAACACACGACTTAAATACTTCGCATTGACAATATAAAATAGAAAACCACGATTTCCTCTCCACAAAACCATGATCTCCTTGGAGTAAACACTCCAAAATTATAACTTTCCCACTTCAGAGCGATTATAGTAAGAAGTTTGTTACTGCACTGAACAAACTTTTTTCCCACGTTGAAAGTTTCTTTAGAGATACAACCTCATATGCTGTGTATTGATCTACAAAAGGACTTAGCTCCATGACCATTTGTTCACAATCAATTTTTATATTCTTGTATGTGTTTTTCACATAAAATCCTCTCTTATTACTAAATTGTGATAAATACGTGCGTCACTTTTTGCACCTGAAGGAGGCTCGAATACACAAAGAGAAACAGAAAGGTAATTTTTGAGTTTGTGATGTAATACATCTTTTTCGTGTAATTTGTTCAATGTTGTCAAGTTATAAATCAAAAATTAACATTAGTATTGAATATAACGTTATTAATTAAGACTATACATTAACGCAATTATAAGTACATATACACTTCTTCACGAAGCCTAGTATAAAAACTGGTTCCCTTTCATCAGATCACTATCTACTATATCTTTTTGTCAGTGATGCCATTATAATATAATTCAAATTCCAGCCGTGCCAACAAATCCATGTCTGTTATCATGTCAATTTTCTATTTTCGAAAGAAGTTTCGAAAAGAAGTTTTGTTGGTGATCGAAATTGTAACCGCAACATTGGGCACCTCTTTCAAATGCCGAAAGTCTTGTTTGGATTTTCATGCATACCGTTTGTGTGTTGCAGCCACGACCGTGACCAGCCGTTCACCTTCCAGCTGGGCGTCGGCCAGGTGATCAAGGGCTGGGACCAGGGCCTGCTCGACATGTGCGTGGGAGAGAGGCGCAAATTAGTGATTCCCCCAGAGCTGGCCTACGGAGACAGAGGAGCGGGCAACGTCATCCCAGGAGGTATACACTTCTTGCATTTGTATTTCTATTTTAATTAATTGATTAATTATTGAAGAAGTTGCGACAACATATTGATAATGCTCATTTTACACATCCAAAATTAAGATATTTCGAGACGACAAGGCTGAACTCAAAGGACCGTAGTGCGACAGAAGAAGAAGAATTAAAATTTTAGAATTTTCCCCCAAAACCAAACATTTTTAATATGTATTTGCTAATTGTTCAATTGCATCAAACACTTTCATTCAAATGCCGTACACATGTGCTCATAGAATTGTAGAAAATATATAGAGAACATTCAGAAATCAATGTGTTACAATCGAAGACCGACTGAAGACGATTCTGGGGAAGCTCATCTTGTAGTATCCAAACCTTTACATTGCAAAAGAAAATTTTTCGAATAATGAAAAAAATGCCATCCGCGTGATCCGTGCAAGCCTCTCTTCATTGATCTTGGAATCTTACCATTGTCTTGCCTATTCATTTACGAATCTGTAATATATGTAAAAACTGACTTAACGGTGGGAACATATATTCATGTAATACTGATATTTATGATTACAACACACGTCGTAGAAATCACATTCAAGTTTCTCACAAATTTAAGTTAAAGGTAAAATCTTTGCTGCTGCATAACTGTTTCTATACAATTAGAGACTACACTGATCAACAAAAAGAAAAATGTTTATTTAACAAAACAGTGATATATAATGAATTAGTTTATACTTGTATATTTTTTAAACAGACTTAATATGCTTGTAACAGATAATGTACTTCAGCTTTCGGGTCAATAATCCCCATCTCGATCAGGTTTTTGTCTAGTTTTTCTGATCTATTGAGCAAATGCTGAGATACTCGTAGCCCCTTGTTTTGCTTCTGGACGTAGATGTAGCGCTATGCGCACGTTTTGTTGAACTCTCCTTTTGCTTGTAGTGGTAGGAGGTAAGGGTGAGATACTATTTTGTTAGCAATGCAGAAAATAAAATCTGCAGTTTGTTTACCGTGGCAAAAGCGTTTTCTATAAGTTGGGAACAAAAATGTCTAGTTTTTCAAATGTCGCTTATCTCGCGCTTTTTTAAAATTTTATGTTTATTTATTTATTTATCTTTAACTTTTACACTATTTTTAACTATTTATAATTAAAATGATGGGAAGGAATTTTGGAACTCAAGAAAATGTGTGCAGATTATCTTCTCCCCCATACGTCACGTACAGTTTTTACTGCTTTTTGACTAAATAAGTCTAAATAAAGACTAAATCTCTCCACCGAATTCTATCGTATCCTACACCTCGTATCCCTCATCTCACCTCCTTTTAACCTCTGTAAAAAAAAACTATTCCTTTACGAAGGGTTCAATGAGGGATAATAGCCAAAACTTGTAGCTAATGTGCCTTTGCATACAGTTTTTACTCCATGGGAGCCAGTATTTTCTTATCTATTCTTGCCAGACACGTTCATTTCCATCTACATTCATAATTCAACTTGTATATTGTTAGAGTGGAGATCCCAGAATTTAAGGATATGTGCAGATAATGCATTTTTTCTCTTAATATGTCACAGTTTTTACTGTTTTTGATATTAAATAATTTAAATAAAAATTAGCAACGGGAGAGATATTTTAAAAAAATGTCATTTGTGTATTTTTAATCTGGTTTTCAAAATTGCGTATATTTCACTCAAAATCACACAAGTAGTAATAGTTTCAAAAAATGATCATGACATTCATTACCGGTAACTAATTATGTAGAACAAATTTTTCTCGAAGATAAAATCTACCATCAAAAATATAAAAGTGCGAGGGGGTCCAAAAAACTCCATACTTGCAATTTTCGACAATTTAACCTGTCATCTTTAAAAGTGCGTTTCGCTATTTTCACATGAAATGTAAAGAAAAAATTGAAGCCATTATTGAGAAAATGTTTAAAGTGTTCCATGGACTTAATGTAACGTACCTACAAAATTCGAAAAATTATTTTCAAAATCGCGATCGATCTGCGAATATTTACTTAGGAAAAATTTATGATTAGCTTGGGCCCTACAGTTGTTCGGACGGAGAGGTCAGTTGGACACGAAGACAGACCGACTGACATTTTGAAACAAAAGAGAACTTTTTGAGAACCCAATAAGTGTATTTGTCGAAAATTGATTTTCCACATGAAATTGCAAAACTTTCTCTACGTATGTTAATACTTCGTATAAACATACTATACGGGAAAGTACAAACTGAGTCAAAACATTGCATTTTAACACAACTTTACATCATACGCAAAGCGATGCGTGTATGAGAAAACCTACGTTTCCAGAGCTCTAGTCTGATAAAGCTTGAGCAATCCAAATAAAGAATGTAATATTGAACATTTTATTTAAATCACAAGAAAAACGTTTTTACTGTGAACACATCGATGTTTGTAAAAAATATCCATCTAAATGAAACAACGGAAAGAACACATCGATGATATATTTATAGGAGGGGGAGATAGAGAAAATAATGTAATATTAAATAATATGAATTAATTAGGGTTTCTTACACACACAATAACAAATGCCCTATTAAAATATTCATTCTATTGTTCACACTTTTTCTAGGTGCTACTCTTACTTTTGAAGTGGATCTTGTTAACATTGGTGACTCCCCTCCACCAGTCAATGTCTTCAAGGAAATTGATGCTGATAAAGATCAAATGCTATCACGAGAAGAGGTAAGTGTATGCAAATAATTAATTTCAATTTGTAGTTGATGGTGAACATAAAATTCTCATTAGTATAAATTTGGAATACATTATGTGAATTCTCTAATTAAGACCTTGTTGAGTTAATGTAAGCAATGTTAAGTGCAGAGTTTAACATATTGGTCATTTTTATTAATGTTTCATTATGTGACCAAATGCCACACTTTTATAAGCTTTTAATTTAACATTTTAATCTTTCAATAAAACAGAAAATTAATCACATATTTTGGTAACATAGTAATAAATTTAAATGCATTTTTTTTGCTAAAAACGTAGTGCAACAAATTAAAAATAATAAAATGAATGCATGAAGATTTCATGTGAATTTCATGAATCACATTTACATATTGCCAATGCACAAGAAAAAATACATCTCAAAAACTGTACTCCCTAGAAAAACGATTTGTGAAAGAAAGGGAGGAGATGGGAGAAGAAGAAGGGGTGTCTCTTTATGCCCTCCCACTAAACGTACAAAACATGCTCTGAAAACGTGGAAATAACTTACCAAAATGCGATTTCTTCATGTTTCGTATAATTTGGAGACGCCAGCAAGGAACGAAAATAAGCTTTCATACTCATTTTACTTCTTGCTTGCACTTCCCCTTTCGCACACATCACTTACGCATATGAACGATCTCTTTCTTTAATACTTCCACTTGAAATCACGCAACTTCTTCCGCTTGGCCTACCTCATAGGACACTTACATACAGTACACATAAACAGTTTTTAAACACTGACAATATCAATCCCTGGGTTTGAAACCACTCAATCACATTCATGCACATGACACCTTTTGGCACTGTGCGTTAAAAAACATTTTTTTTCTTCTCTGGATCGTAGCAAAAACACTCGACAACTCACAAAAAAATTAGAAGAGCACAAGGAACATAACTGTTCGAAAGAAAATCTGACAGCTACTCCGACAGACACAAAAATAAAAAATAAAATATATAACTTCACGGCTATGTCACTTTCGCTTCGACGGACATGATGGTACTAGCGCTTCGACAAGATACTATGACGTGAAAGATAATGAAGAAAGTGACCAATCACAAAGCATTGAAGTTATTTTAGTAGATTCATTTTTATAATTTATTTCGATCACGCGCGCCGCTGCCTTGCCGGCGAAATCTTCCACGCATTGCTTATTATAATTATAATATATAATGTACTACGTACATACATTGCTGACTACTCTTGAAAGATTCCCCTCAAAACTATCTAACTACTCCTCGCCCCTTCCACTATGGATTTCCCCATCACCTGAGCGCCTGGAAATGCGAATTTCTTAATTTGTAAACGACTTTCTTAATTTGTGTTCTATACTTGGCCAAAAAATTGTTTTCACGTAAGTAAAAGTTTCTTGAAGATAGTTACCAAGACGGTGTTCAGAGCATTAACACTTAGTATTGGCTGCAAATCGTCTCCATTCAGAATGAACCCATTCTGCAAAATGACAATTCATGAGATGTCAGTTTTCTTGAGCAGTGATGATAATGCATTGCATCCATAGTACAAAAACGCTCAATCTTACTATTAGAAGTAGACGATTTTTTCTTTGCAGGAAGGATGTTTGTGTAGTTTACCTATCTTTTACAAGATGTAGTCTACACATGTGTTAACAAAGTTGTAAATGTTTTATTCACAAGTATCTATTTTCAAAAATGTAACCTCTGGATTCTTGGTATGTGAACTTGTTACTTGTATTGATATCTTGTATTTGATGTCTTATGTTTGTCAATGGTTTTAAGATTGTTAAAGTCAAATCTTCTTGCAAATGCTTCACCTCTTCAACCTCTTGCAATCAATGATGTTGTCATTTGTTTCTAATGCACATCCACTGTTTCTTCAGTCACAAGTCGTCGTCTTACAAATGTATGTCACCTACAGTCCAGCGTACCTGGGTTCAGAGATCTTGTTGTGCAAGATGAAGCCATTTTCTATCAATAAGCAACTTTCTAATGGGTCACTCACAATTTTTTCATATTCCCAACCTGCACTGATCACAAAATAAAACCTTTACTTCACATTTTTGTAGTATCAGATTATTAATACAGCACATTTCCTTCTACACAAAGCAATCAAGAATTCATATCTTAATATTTTTTAATCTTGCAACAATTAAAATTCATCAAGAAACTTATCTTTGTGTTCAGGTGAGCGAATACCTCAAGAAGCAGATGGTGGCAGCAGACCAGGAAGGAGGAGAGAGTGAAGAAGTGAAGAGGATGATGGAAGACCATGACAAGCTAGTTGAAGAGATCTTCCAGCATGAGGATAAAGACAAAAATGGCTTCATTTCGCATGATGAGTTCTCTGGGCCTAAGCACGATGAGCTGTAGGTGACTTGACGAAAAAGACTGTGGTTGAATACAGTGAAGTGCAGATGAAACAATCTTCCAGAAGCAAAAATTACAAAAATAAATCCCATCAAATGTACTGCACTACCGACCGTGACATGCCAACATTAAAGTGGCTATTAACTTTTCAGAGTGCTACTATATCATCATTTTATACAATCTATATAAAAATGAACTCTTTTTCTACACATATAACAGATACCTTTATTTAAGAAGAAAACTTGAAGATACATTTTGTACATACTTCTAAGGATTTATTGATTACTTTATTATTAGTTTAAAGAAAAAAAATATTTGGTTTATTGCTGAGTTAAATGTTGTCCAATGTTCTATATCATCTTCACATTCCACTTAATTCTGATTGACATCTACTTTGTCCAAAAAATTGCACAGTAAAAGAGATTATTGGGTTTGTAAATGTTATAAATGTGTGTTGTTGTTGAAGTTGTATGATGTTTAAATAAAAGCTGTATTTTAAGTTTTGAGTGCAAGTGTAATTTTTAAATTCCCATTTCCACAATTACATTTTTAAAATTGAAAAATGAAAATAAAATTCCTCTTCCCTCAGTTAAATTTGACACATTAAAATAAAAAAGTCCACATTTTCTTTTTCTTTTAATCCTTTTTGACTGTCTCCAACAAAATTCCTATGCTCCAATTTTGGAAATTATTCCATAAAATTTTTAAAGCCATTGTTTTTGTGTAAATTATTAGGACCTATCACAAATTACTTTTAAGTGTGTTAAAGTTTGATTTTGTTTTGACATTCGGTAAGCTATTTATGGAAAACTTGAATAGTAAATTGAATGTTAATAATTGTTTATACATGCTTAAATTTTGTAATTAATGTTTTCCCTTCTCAAAACAAATTTGAGATATTACTGAGAATGTGTGTTTCTTTCATGAGAAGAAATGAAGGAAAAAAGTTAAAGAAATAGGAGAATTTGGAAAATAAGAAAAATCAATAGAGTATTCAGCAAATGATTTCAGATCCCAGTTTTCACCAGATTAGATGTACACCAGGAATTTCTCAAATTGATCAATGCAAATTAATAGGATATCAATTTTTCATCAAAAAAAATGACTGGAGTCTGTAATTATTTATGCAATTTTCTTTCTAAATTATTATAAATGGTCATATTTAACTTTTCTCTCTTACTTTGAGATTAGAGAAACAAATACCAACAAATCAGAAAAGGATGAATGAAAACATGTCTGGAAAAATTTCATTATGGATTTTATCTCCATTTATTAATAAGTATTGTAAGAATTTTAGGCAAGACAATTTTTACATCTGTTAATTCAAATACATATTTTAAACCTACATTTTGATGGAATAAGTGAATACTGAAAATGGAAAAATAATTAAATTATCTGAAATATAGTTTCTCTTCAAAAAACATCCACAAGAAAGGGATTTGTGAAGAAACTTATATCCTGAGAATCATGCAGGGCAAGTAACATTCTTGTAGAAATTAATGTGAAAAGTGATTTATGTCTGGCAAATATTGGGCATTGAAATCATGGATCAAGTAAGAGAAACAAACTTCATGGAAATAGTATTGTATCTTAACCATTATTCACTGCAGTTCTGGCTTTTACTAAAATAATCCTCATAGTTACAGTTTTGAATCCATCCCTAAATTAATACAGAGGGGCATCATAATTTAAAACTTATTTAATTGGAATTTATCAATACAGTGGTACCGACTTGATGGGACCAGACCCTGTCTGAACCAATGGAAGACCCATGAAACACAAATATATTGGCATCACAAGAACCAAATTATTCAGTGGATGATTCATTAGATAAGGTTTGAATTGCCAAGAAGACCCTTCTAGTACACCCATATAAAAAAAATTGGGGAGAAATATCTCCTATAGCAATGTTGCCTATGGTAATGCAATAAGCACTTTTGAGCACATGAGGTCAGATTTTTACTGAAGATTGAAGGAGAATAAAAATCATTTACAGATGATCCCAATATATTTATTGTATTAATCATCTTTTGGGCAAGCTTTTGTCCATTCCTACAGTCATGATATCAGACTGTTTATCCCAGTATTAAATAAGAATTATCCACTTTTTCAATATTAAAGACTTGCAAAACAAACATTTTTTGCCAAATGTATTTTGCAAAATCATTTCTTTAAAAAAAAAACAGTTTTGGTGAGCTTTTGTTATTCCATAAAATTATTATTTTCTTTTTTAGTTATAACTGGTAGCCTGCAAAAATACAGCTGAGCCAAACCACACCAAATGGTTTCCCAAAAATTCACAGTGTTCAAGAACAACAAATAAAATACTTTCTTATAACACTGCAATAAATTAAATATTTCAACAAAATCTGTCCTCGTGAATACTGCAGTAACAAAGTATAGTTTACACACAGTGCTACAGTTCCTTATTTAATGGTGGGTAAAATCATCCTTGGAACTTTGCTGTTGCATGGCTTCAGCTGTGTCCTAAAAAGTGAGATACACTATGAGAATTCAGTGCATATGCTTTGTTGAGAATAGGTTGAATAATGCAATCAATTTGTATTTTTTAGTCAAAATCAAAACCGTTTCATTTTACAATTTTCCTGTGTTTTTGGATGTCTAATGAAACTATAGACACCTTTCACATGGCTTGAGGCTGTATGGCTTTCTTTTAATTTCTGCACACATTGAAAATAAGTTAAATAGATGTTTTCAGATTTTTCCCAAGTTCCTGGGTATCTAGACACCTGTCATGAGGCTGGAGACTGCATAGTTTTCTTTCAGTTTCTGTGCACATAAGAAATTAGTAATAAGGAGTACTGAAAATTGATATGTCTATTAAGGTAAGTTTTACATTCTGTTTCACTTTAAACGTAGCATACTTTTCTTCACGGAAGAAGTTAGTCCTCTAAGATACGTCTTTGGATCTGTCTGATGGTCCTTACACACCTTCAAAGAAATTGTGATAAGCTTGAGAGAATTATTGTATGCGGAAATCTGACCTCTCTTCCTCCGCATTCATCTGAAGAGAGAAGTTCATCATGAAGAGTACGTTAGTGAATTGTGATGTTATCACTGATCTCTATAAATATGTTCAAATGGAATCCAAGGCACTATATGTCTCTGATTTCAAGATACTGCGTGGCTTGAGTCAGGCCTAAACTACCCAAAAGCGCTCCAAACCCCCAAAAAATGAAATTAGTCACATTTTGTAATTGTAGCTTGAGAAACATGACTTAAGGCCTCTGACTTCCAAACCAATTCTTAAGGCACCACTTTCAAGTTATGCATGGTTGATATCAAGAAACCTTGTTGAATGTTGAGTGAAGTATGCTTTGTTGGATTGCATTTGTACATGTCTAGTTTAGATGCACTTTTTCAACAAATATTAATATTTAGAAAAGGAAATTACAATTTGTAATTTATCCGTAGCCTTTACAAAAAACTGGGTTTCACAATAACACTCTGCAATGACAACCACTGGCGTAGAAAAGAAAAGTTAATGGATTTTTTTTTAATGCACTTATGAACTCACTTTAAAAACAAATTCTTCATTAAAATTACCTACAAATGAAACTAAGAAAACCTTTCAGATTAAGTTCATATAATTTGTCTCAAACTTACACTTATTTGATATCTTCTTGTTCATTAACAAGAGAGCATCTACTCATTGCGAATTCAATTTTTTTTCCAATTCATTTTTTTCCGTTTCTGGATTGACACAACACATTTCCAAACGCCCTGGGGGGCATTGAGTGCTTTGCGCTTGGGAGTGATCTTCTATTACCTGTATTAATTAGTGTGCGGGCGTTATCCTCCATTAGCTGTATAAGTCATTATATATCATATCTCATCACAATCAGTTATCAAGGGGACCACCAGGTAGCGTCTCTGCTTACACACCTCCTACTATGCAATCCTCCATCACTACCCAGAGGACAGAATTGGGAAGGAATTAGGATAGGGGTAGGGTTTAGGACACTTCACAGGGGGTTGGATTAGCCCTTATGAAGCAGCCAAACTCATTTTGTTGGAACAAATTTCACATGAGATTGTCCAGGAATCAATGAGAATCGAACCCGGACCTCCTTCATGAGAGGCAACCAACTTTGTTTTAAGGCACCAAGCCAGCAAGAAAAAAAATCATTGCAAGAAAAAATTTTAATTAATACTGTTAGAACAATTGTGGGACAGTTTAAAACACCAATATCCTCATTTGTCTCAAAAGTCCATGTTGGCACTTTCACCATTTGCAACTACATATACATTCGAAATGAGGTTTTTAATTTGTAGGTCAGCAAAAAATAAATTTCATAATAGAATGAATGTCGAACTTGGCATAATATTCAACTTTAATCTATAAAATTTAACATTAAGTAGTAGTATATATGTGATAATAAACAGTATCACACATTTCATTAAAGATTGAAATTTAAATCCTGGTTAACAGTCTTGTTTTTAAGTATTTTAAGAACTTGTAGTTAAATTTTCAAATATTAATTGAAGCAAAAATATACCATTCAAAATATTTGTCATATTTATTTCAAATAACCCATTTACAGAACGTTGCATTTAAACTGTACTACTGAAGAAAACCAAGGATTCCACATAAAAATTCGACATTAAAAAAGGTGCCACTTATAAAATCCAAGAAATTCCAATGAAAATATTATCTGAAGAAATGGAAAAAATTAAGTAAAAAATTTGGAACTATTACGATTACCACCACTTATTTGGATTCTCCAAAACCACTGTGAAATGAAAACATGATCCTAAAATAAGAGAAAAAAAATTAAAACATAAAATTATTCATAAAGAGAATAACATATTTCTCATTTATTATTTTCTTGCATACACTACATTTCACTTTTAAAAAAGCATACACTTGCAATACTCAAAAAATTCATTTAGGCCCCACAATTTGAATGATGCAGTGCCAATGGCCGACTAGTTGTAATATATTAGATTAATATATATGGTATATATCACATCAAAAATTATGAAGAGTGAATCTTTACAAATTTATACAATGGGGTGAAAGCAAATCTATGTACAGTTTTTGCCAATTTTACATCATTCATCACACACATGTTCTATACATACCATTTTACATTTAAAACATGGTTGGAAGGATATTTTTATGAATGGAATCTTAGTTTTATTAATAAATTTTGTTTTCAATAAGAAGAACATTTCCAAGTCTACTGACTTAAAACAGGCAGTAAATTGTATAAACATTATGTTATCCAATATCTTTCGACTTAACAAATATTAAAGAAATATTGAAATCTGATTTCATAGGAGAATTATAAAATAAAGTATTATTTTTTTAATGAATACAAAATATTTCTTTTCCTGGGATTAAAGCAAATGAATATTTGAAAATTATCTCATGAATTATGTCCTTCTTTTGATTCTCTGTCAGTGTTTCATATGTAAATAAAATTTGAAACAACAAAATTTCAAGTAAGATATTTCACAGTTTTAAATCAACAGTTTCCAATTCTACCAAGATAAAATTCACTATATAACATGATAAGATTATTGTAAAGAATAATGAAGTACTGAAATTTATTGTAAACGTAAAAGGTGTAAGGGGCAGAGCAAATTTAAAACCTGTGAATATTGGAAAATTTTATTTGGTTGTACCAAATTAATAAGAAAGTGAAAAACACCCATCATTTTCTAAAAAATTCACTTGAAATAAAAGTCAAATGTGTTCTAAAGTTTCATCAGTAACAAACACTGTTCAGAGTATAAAAAAGACTAGGAACACACCTGAAACACGTTAATGGGTCTTAAAAAGTGTCATACTAGTAAATGTTGATCCTACATGACACATCTCCCCACCTCAGTTCCAGGATTGGGATCTCTTATGGACCCCAAAGTTTATAACAGTTTTGAACAAAATAATGAACTTATCACACGCAATCACTAATTTACACTGTATCACAGTCACTGAGTGCTGAATGTTTGTAGTTGCCCTTTGTACAACTGCCATATTAGTAACTCTTAATGTAAGCAGCTAGATGTTTTTTATCCTCTTCTGAAAGTCCATTTCTGAGAGTTCTCCTTACTGAAAAATATAAGAGCAATATTTATAATTTTACAGAAGTATTTTGGAAAGATTCTTAATAATGTTCAAAAAGATATTTTAAAAACGCATGGCCATTTTAGTCATTTCATTCAGAATTTTTTTTTCCTCATTCAAAGCTGTTTCTTTCTAAATTCCTAATATGTAAAAGGTACATAGTTTGTAGAAGATAATTCTCAAGAAAGAAATACATTTTTTTTAACAATTATTATTTATTCATTATCCATTGCGGTCACTGTTGACTATTCTAATTATGTTTCACGCAGCTTTCTTAAAGTAAAAACAGTAATTAGAATTTTCATTTTAAAATTACAAGAATCCACCAGAATCCAAACATACGTGTAAAAGAAGGTATCTCAATGTGTGAATGACAATGTTACCTGATAATTTATCGTGAATATCCACAATAATTTTTATCATTATTTCTAAGTACATTTAATTCCCCTTTGGGACTTTTCTTTTAAGTTAATATTTTTTCTTAATGTGTTGTGAATTCAATTTGAAACATTAGTAAATTAAGAATACTAATTTGAAGACATGTAATCAGGGAAAACATATGAAAACTTGCAAAAGCAAACACTTATACAACTAACTATTGTTCCCAAATTGAAAGAAAAAGAAAAACATATATTAAAGGGAAATTGAATCATTACTTCTCTGTACAAATGTATATTCAAGTGGTTAGGCAGAAGAGCATACCCCGTGGCTTGAACCTTGCCATTAATAAAGACATTATTATTTATTATTATTATTATTATTATTATTGAAAGAAAATTAGCATCAATGACATTGGAATACAGAACTTAAAACATAAAATAAGACAAAATTCCTATTAATTCCACATACCAATACTTTTTCTTCATTATTTTTTTTGACATTTGCCCTCATCTCACTGCTGTGCTCATCATGAAATTTTTCATATCTTATTCCATTTCACCTAGCATCAAGAGGTGATCTACACTCATGCAAAGTCAATTATTGTTGTATTTCATGAAATACACATTTGTACAAATATTTGGTTAATTAAATGATAAATATGTGTGTACATGCAAATTAACACTCATGCAATAAGGTAGTTGAAGAACATAGCTTGTCTTGATGGTCAAATAGTACCCAAATTAGCAAAATAAATATTACGCAAGTTACATTAGGAGAAAATAGGGGATTCCAAATATTTTCTTTGTCAGTGAAGTGCAAGACAAAATAAAAATATTTTCTTCATTGTTTTTCAATTTGTAGTGCAGATACCACATCATCATCATTTATTTTTCAAGAAGACAAATTTTATTTTAGACTTCTACCTTCCTTTATATTGCCCCTTCTGGGCCCATATGACAAAGAAGCACATTATTATATATCCATAAACTAAAGTATAGAATTAATTGACAAATAATCTGGGGCATAATTTTCAAATGATGATTAATGATTATTATTACATTGGCATTTTTAATTATAGGTAATATTTCTCCAGCGCATAACCAGTTAATATCAGAATTATATCTAATGTGATCTTTGCCTTTAGAATACCAAATAGATTTATGAAGAAAAGACCTTACAAAAGGAAATAAAGAAATGCTCAAATAAAAATATGAACGCTTAAAAAAATACGTAATGCTGTATACTTAGAGGGAAACTACATGGCTCTCATGAAGTCTGTTCTAATAGTTGTATGTTTTCAAAAGTTACTTTGCTTATCTTACTGTGACTAAGGTGCACAACACAGCATATAATAGCGATGAATTGGGTGAGCTTAGTGAACAAAGAGAGTTGCCAACAAAGACATGAGCCTTACAATGTTCAATGTCAATTATTCCTAGGACAGGTGCAAAGATATTTTATGTTAATTGCATTGACCAGAGGGTGGTGCCCGGTGAACTTCGACAAGTGTAACAAAGCGTCAGATGTGACAGAAGTGTATGGCAACAAATGAGTTTGGAATAAAATGGGAAATTATAGGTTGGACAAGCCCAAAGTTGTCTTATATTAATCGTGGACACCAAAGGCCATCATGGAATTGGACAAGCATAGTGAACCATCTAATAACCTTACTCATTAGAAGTTATAAACACAATGACCTTTTGCTCGCAGGTATTTGTTTGCAAGTGTTTACAAAAAAACTCTAGTGCTGATATGTAATGTATACTAAATCTATCCACACTAGACTTTTACAATATTTATTAATTAATATTCATGTACATTTTAATAATAATATTGTAATAATTTTAATACATGGGGTCAGTGGTATGTCTAGGAAAAATGGCACCTACGGCAAGCCTTTGCCATTGCAAACCACCCCTCCATCACAAAGATGAAGGCAATTGTGTTTGGTTCGTAGTTCCTAACAGCAGTATCTTTGGATATGAACTAAATAACAATTAAACAATACAAGCAACAATATTTTATTATATAAGAATAAGAAAATGCAAATGCTCTTGTTTTCATTTTCTGAACTTTATAACAAAACTTTGGAAAAAGTGAAAGAAAAAACAATTATATTACTGTTTCAGTCAACTAATTAAATAAATGAAATTCACAATAATTTTGAAAAGATTTAAAAAAGGGAATTATACTGAAATTCAATTCTCACACTAAATAAACTGACCATTTTGTTGTCTGTGCGAAGCAATCCGATTACCTATTTATTAAAATTTGTTTGTTTCATATTTACTCTTTCTATTATAAGAAACTGTAAGTAAAATTTCATGAAAACACTCTTTCTACACTAAAAAATTATGCCAAAACTATGTAAGTTATATTTTAAAAAAACTGTTCATGGCCTTATTTAAAGATTAATTTTCTAAGTCAGGTTTCATTAAGAAAGAAGTCTCTATCATGTACTCTGTAGAGACACCAAACAAATTTTGAACTTTTGAATTTTCAAAAATACTGAGAATTTATCGATATTGAATCTACACTACTTTAATGAGTCCATTTTGCTGTATTCGAGAAAAAATTATATTTGAAACCAATTTTGAGAATTTTTTAAAAAATGTTGAAGTGTCATGTAAAGTCCTCCAAAATAATTTTATTTTTTCAATTTTGGACCTCAAGTTGAACTGGATCAATTTAGAAATATCAATTTTGGAGGGGACAAAAAGAAAGTAAAAAAAGAAAGATGAAGAAGAAGAAGATGAAGACGATGATGAAGAAGAAGATGCTGATGAAGAAGAAGAAGATGCTGGTGATGATGAAGAAGAAGAAGATGCTGGTGATGATGAAGAAGAAACGAACACGAAGAGAATCTAACCCACACTCCGAGGGTATAGAGCAGCCTCCATGAATGAATTTGGACCGAGTAATGGGCATGAGTTGTGAAAAAATGGTGAGGGTGAGAGAATGTTTTACCTAGTGGAGCATATTTAAGAACACCAATCTCTTTGAAGTCACAAGATTTGTTACTAGCAGATTTGAATATTGTTGTGATGCAATTCTTCTTTATGCGTAGTTGGGAAGGCAAGTGCATGACGACATTGCACTTTTTCTACTAAACAGAGTCGAAGTTGACGGTGTGATGCAATTTATGTATGTGCACTTTCTTTCTGTTCATTGCTTATCTTTGACAAAACTTCATTTCTAGTTTAGTGCTTACTAAACTGCTTACTATTTATATTTTTGAATCAATTTTGGTTATTGTTTACCTACTGGGAATTAAAAGCATGTTTTGACCATACAGGTTACAGTGACAACCTCATGCAGTGGCAGCCATGGCATGTGACCTGGGTGCCACTCCAGGGGAATTGCACTTTTGTCTGCTAAAGAATATTAAAAAAATCTCTTTTAAAAAACTTTGATACAATTTATAGACAATTAGTATTTGTTATGTAATTGATTTCTTTTTCTCACCTATGCACTCTTATAGTAAAGAGAAAGTATTGTAATTCATTGTGTATCTCTGTATTGTGGGTCTGATTATTGAAAAATGTGGTTGCTCTTATAAAAAATAAATTTATTTTTCTATTCGTGTGTAATCACTTTTGTGCCAGCCACTTTATTGTGGTGAAACGTCTTTCTCTCTGGACAAACCACTAGTGCCTAAATCAGTTTGCTTAGCGTTTTCGTCTTCATCTTTTTCTACTTTCTTCTTCTTCTACTTCCACTTCTACTTCTTCTACTTCCACATTCTACTTTCTTCTTCTTCAACTCTTTTCTTCTTCTTCTTCACTTCTTTTCTTCTTCTTCTGCAACTTATTCTTCTTCTTCAACTCTTCTTCTTCACTTCTTCTCTTCAACTTCTTCTTCTTCAACTTCTTCTATCTTCAACTTCTGCTTTTTCAACTTATTCTCTTCAACTTCTTCTTCTTCATTTTCTCTTCATTCTTTCTTCAACTTCTTCTTCAACTTCTTCTCTTCTTCTTCTTCTTCTTCTTCTTCTTCTTCTTCTTCTTCTTCTTCTTTCTTCTTCTGTCTTCAACTTCTTCTTCATTCTGTTCAACTTCTTCTTCTTCTTCTCTTCTGCCTTCAATTTCTTGCTCTCTCTGCGAAGACTTTATCTAGTCTATCTCCATCTTCTCTGTCTTTCTTCGCCTTCTCCCGCCTTCTCCGCCTTTCTTCGCCTTCTCCGTCTTCTTTCTCTTCTTCGTCTTCTTCGCCTTCTTCGCCTTCTTCCGATCCTTCTTCCCTTCTACGCCTTCTCCGTGTCTTTCGCCGTCTTCTCCTCTTCTCAGTCTTCTCCGTCTTTCTCCGTCTTCTCCGTCTTCTCCGTCTTTCTCCGTCTTCTCCGTCTTCTCCCGTCTTCTCCGTCTTCTCGTCTCTCCGTCTTCTCCGTCTTCTCCGTCTTTCTCCCGTCTTCTCGTCGCTCTCCGCTCTTCTCCGTCTTCATCCGTTCTTCTCCGTGCGTCTCCGTCTTCTCGCGTCTTCTCCGTCTTCTCCAGTCTTCTCCGTCTTCTCGTTCTTCTCCGTCTTCTTCCGTCTTCTCCGTCTTCTCCGTCTTCTCCGTCTTCTCCGTCTTCTCCGTCTTCTCCGTCTTCTCCGTCTTCTCCGTC